CCACGATCCGTGCGTTACAGCTCTCCTAAACTTCAGAATTGAATTTTGTATTTATATGCTTCAGTACAGATATAAAGGAAAACATATTTACAGACGGCCAGATTTAAACTTCTACTACAACACGGAGCTCTCGTAATCATCATCTTATTACGAATGAGTTTGCGGAATATGTGTTGTCAGAGTTAGGTTGGCGTTACTGAAATCTAATAAAATTAGATGCTGACATACGTATAAAGGTGAACGTTAGTGAAACATTTGTAATTTCTTCCCACCTGAAACTAAGAAGAACCAGGACACGAAATGAATATCGGAATTAGAGGCTAATCGTTTTGAACAGTTCGTCATTCGCGCGGCTTGCGTCCATATTGCCCCAGGTTCGCTTGGTTGACTGACCGTTAACTGTAGACACACCTTACTACAGTTTCCGGAATTTGTACGTTTCCACTAGCTGTTTAAAACAAACGTGTACAATAATTAAAATGTAACGTGATATTCTTTAACGCGTGCAATATTTGTAAGTTCATAAAATCCAACTGTTAATCATAATAGCCCGCTTCGTATTTCTAATTCATTTATTAATTGATCTTGAAATATTTTTCGATATCATTCACCAGTTTTCCGCTGTGCAGTTTGGGTTTTGAATGATTTGAATTGTTAGACTAGGCAGATATCTAGAAGTTATCCAGAATTTTATTATGAGCTTATGGCTTGAATAATAAACTGTTTTACTGAGATTGGACTAAATGAGTTCTAACACGAAGAAATAGCCATATTAAAACGCATTGACTTATAATTAAATTATTTACCAGTATTAAAAATATTAATTTTTTGCATAAATTTCACTTCTGATTTTTTAATCTTTAGTGGTCATTAATTAAACATATGCAAGCAGAGCCGTCGATATAGGAGTGCCTTAAGATTAGTGCAATTTAAAAAAGAAAAAGTTTAATCCCACCTGTGTTCTAGGACTACAATGAAATTAATACTACTTTAACCATTTCATTCTTGGTGGTTACTGTAACACCTGTTTTAATAATTAATAACTCTGTATGTAGTCCACACGGTGTACTTACATGCTTCATATGATTCTCGTAATAAACAGCAATTATTTCCTTGAATCAATTGATTTTTCTAATGTTGAAGAGTTGTGCTTTCTTAGAGGTACGGACTGGATCCTTAAATATGATTCAAACGAGCTTCGGCCTCAAATCGAATATCCTTCAACGGGAAGCCGTCTAGTGCTCCCAGCCCTAAGAACGGATCTTTGTGTAAGTGATTAGCAGTTTTAAGAACGCTGTACATTTTTATTCTCTTACCAGTAATGAGGAAATTCTGGATGTACGGCCGTTGGGAGATAAATGATTGGGTCTGATTTCAAACATATTTGGTTCGAAGAAAATAAGTTTCACTTCTATCAGCCATGGTGGAGAAAAAATATGAATGTAAGCATACAACACCAAGAAATCAGGCTCCACGTTTTTAAGAAACATTTTCCAAGTAGAGCCGGTTCGTTTGATTTCTACGTTGGTTCACTGTTTTCTTATGATCACCTGTTTCTCATTAATTTTTCTTTATCTCAAATCTCTTTTATGTTTTTATTGTAATATTTCTTTTTTTGTGCACAAGGGGGCCTGGCTATCTGACCAAGAAATATTTCACCTCTCTCACGGAACAAGAAAATACATTGCCCTCTACCCAATTTTAAATCATAAGCGAGTTGAATTCAGTTCACTCCCTACATAAAACAAATCCCTGTAATGGCATTAAACAACCTAAAACCTAAACATTACAGTATAAAATTTTGGACAAAAACTTTGGAACTCCTATTTAGATTTTGATTTTCTGGGTTGCTCTGTAGTTTTCTGGTTTTAATAGAATATTCCAGACGAACATGGCACATCCTTTTTTAGGGTTTAACCTAAATTGGACGATCTCAAGCAAGGAAAGAAGATGAAGTTTCAGGAGTTAAAACGAGAAGCTGTGAATAGGGAAAACTGGCGAACTCTTTTTGGGCAGAACAATGGACCTGTCGTCAGACAGAACACTAAATAATGATAATAAAACCTAAAGTGACACTTGTAAAAAAGCCAAATCCTCTTTAAGAAACCTATGGTCCATATCTATGTATAATTCACTCCAAATCCCCTATAAACTGCTTTTTGCTTTTAGATTAGGACAGTTTGAATGGTTACACATTCTGTTGTATTGCGTACGCGTCACTAAATAAAGGTGTGGGTATATGTAGCACATATCTGTGTTGCAGAGGTCAGTCAGAGCACAAGTCCTGCAGAGTTACCTATAGTGGGCGACCCCTTCAAAGATGTAATTCTGGATCTGGTGTTTCCCAGAGACAAGCCCGTGTTTATTCTCAACGGCAAGAAGCTGCAACTGCTGGAACCATTGGACCGAGACGAGGACAATCTGTCTCACATCGTTTTCCAGGTGAGTGCAGAAAACATTGACTGAACTCTTAAGGAGCTCTGAACTGATATTTCAGGTTCTCATGGCGACGAGTCTGATAGATGATTTCCTTCTTGGGTGTTGCGTTGTGTAGTCTGGTAGAAATTGATTGGTGGTGGTTTATTGGTTAGAACAATTACCAAAGAATTCTTTGTGGAGAGGGTCCATCAGCTAGGGCGTGAATGGGATGTCAGTCTCATCGCCCATAGGGACTATTTCTAATGGCATCTACTTTTTCGCCCGGAACAATTTCCATATGAGTTTTATTTGAACACACCTCAAAGCTTTCACTCTCGCTGAATCATTCACTGTTAGCATAGGATGGACATGGGAACTGTCATGACTAATGAAAGATTTATAAAGTCATTACATTACGCCTACCAGTTAATTTACCTAGTCAAATGCTATTACAAACTAACAAACAACATTCCTGAGATGTAAGGTGTTTTTTGTCTTGTCACTAAAGAAAGACGTGCGTTGATGTTTCTTAATGACACACCAATTGACAGGCGGAGTCTTGCAAGTATTAATTATCTTTTCTTTCTGCCATATACTGTATGTTATCTGTAGAAACCTCTGGATAAAACTATTAATATAAATGTTGCAACGTTATTGTGAATTTACGAAATTTAACTCAGAATACAGAAAGAAAAAGTATTGTCCCTAGCTACCGTATAATTATAACTGTGAAGGCTTTATATTTTAAGAAGCACTGAGACTAATGTGGCCAAGCTTTAAGACGCAAAACATCGTTTAAAATGCATCGGAATTTTTTATTTGATAGCATCTTCTTTCATTATGCTCTGAGGATAGGAATGTAATGACGCAAAAAAAAACATTCCATTGACCCTGGTGGTATGCAACCCAATCAACAGTTAACTGTCAGTCTGTCACTACGGTGTCCGCCATCTAGGAACATTTACTGTATACTACATATGTTTCACTGGCAAGATACCTAGTCCATTTGGTTACTGATAGGAGTTTTAAATATAACGGAAGATAAATTCTTTAAATATGTTTTTAAATTCTTAATAGGACTATCTAATTTCTTCTTGAGTGTCTGTAACACTGGAATGCAAGTCCCTTACACTTATAGAAGCATGAACATTGAATTAATTAATTAAGTTATGATCTGTTAAGTTGGTTACTTTAACTACCATTAATAGAAATATTATAGAAAATTGTATAATTCATTTGGTCTCAAGTTGTAATTTAATTACATTTACAGTTAATTTCTTTCATATAGTTGCTAGTGAAGTCTTAAACGGTACTAAGATAATTTGACGTTAGTAATCTTCCCAATCACTTGTTGTGCATATTGGGCAGTTAATTTTTCGTAAACAGTTCAATAAATTTCGTGTTGTTGTATGAACTCAAAATTTAAGTACCTTCGTCACTAAATTTGTCATAGAATCCGCCGTTTTGAATAAGATGGATCCCACGTCACTTCTCACAACCAGGTTTCTCATTATTTCTGTCAGTATGTTGTAATAACATAAACTTTTTTCGCACAAATTACTTATTTCCACGAGGTTCTACAGCCATATTCTATGCATAAACTTACATACCTTGCGTGCTGCAGATACATCTTGTTTAATCATTTTCACAACACCAGGTGAACAGATCGAGCACAAAAACTTATAATTATACATCGCAATTGTCACTTCCCTGCTCCTGGCAGGAAATGCATAACTCACCGATAAACGCTAAAATGTTTTTCGATACGACTCCAATATCGACTCATAAAAAACAAGAAACTCAAAAGTAGGTTTTAAAAATTATGACCCTGTGATATTTGCATTCCGGTTTATCAGTGAAAGAAATATATTCATTTAAACCATAACATATTTTTCGCAATAAATTAAGTTTTATATCATCATTTAAATAAAGGATGATGTAGAAAATCCATCTTTGCACTGATCCCACACTTGGACCACTTTTGCACAATAGGATACCAGTATATTGATGGTCTTTTTGTGTTGTAACTCCCTGCGGAGGGCTTCAGCCCTGAAGATGGAGGCAGTATGCACCACAGACACGTTAGTGTCTTCCTGCAAGGCCACATGGCGTTACAACCAATAATACCAAATTCAGCATCTGGGTAGGATACGCTATTACGAAATATGTCCTATTAATAAATTTGGTTTTGTCGGTGTAATTTATAACGAGGCATTTTACATTAGGCCTATCGGCTCAGAAGGAGAAAAATATTAAGGAAAGTTTCAAAATTCTGGGTAATTAACGTATGTGTACATTTTTCAAACCATTTGCTAAGAAACAATAATTTTGTTGTTTAATATGCGAAGTTCAGATTTGTGTACTTAGAAAAGCGACGTTAAGGAAAACGGATAATTAAAAATGAAACATTGCCTTACTCTGAGGCAAATGGATCCTGTTCAGCCGACACGATAGCATACAAATAAGTCTACATGATAAAGCTTTTTCTTCTTGCGTACAGGTTCTGGCTTTACCACCGGAAATGTCTTTGGTAAAACGAATATATCGCAGTCTGCAGTGTGCAGATGAGTCACTTTTGTGTGTTGACCACCCATCAGCACGATGATAAACAATTTAAATGTTCAAGGCACGACCCTGAAGCAGGGTTTTGAAGTTGGTCTGTGGGTTTTCAAAGAACCTGAGTTATGATCTGAAATATATGGTAAAATATTAGGTGTTTTAGTGCAGTGGTATTCAACCTTTTTTGTTCGTGTACCCCCAGATATAATTTCTTTACAAATTTGTACCCCCAAAGTTATTGGTGTATAATTCAAGTTATACATAGTATATAATCTACATCTAAAATAAATTACATTACTGATTATTCAGTGTTTATCATAAAATAAATATATATATATATATTTTTTTAAATTTCACGTACCCCCTAAGATGTCTTCTCGTACCCCCAGGGGTACGTGTACCCCAGGTTGAATACCACTGTTTTAGTGTATTTATTTATGTAAGTTATAGCTATTTGGGCCCTTTCTGGTTCAGACCCCAAACAGTTTAATGTTGTAATTTTACTTTAAAAATACTTCATTATAAAATACACAACTAGGAGTTTCATTTTTAAGGTTAAATTGAATGAAGTGCTGTTTAAAAAATGTGCTCTGGTGAACATTTTTCCGTATTTACCTTAAAGTTTAAACGATGAAAATGTCTGTGTTAACACGACATATCTCTTCGCCACGAAACTATACGCAATAAAGAATCTTTTAGAAAATGGAAGGTTGTGTAATTGAAGATGTGGCATGTTTTCATACAGTTTCATCTGCAAGTGAGTTCACTCCGCTGTTACATTCTGTCTGTACGAAGTAATTATATCCTTAAGCAATTAGCACGTTACTCTGTTTCAGCTTACGTGCACGGTGAAGTCTACCAATAAGAAGAGGTCTATTCCCGTTATAGTAAGAGTGTCTGACATCAACGACAACTCTCCTAACTTCCAGAATACTCCATACGAGACGACAGTTTCTGAGGTAAGCGATGGATACGAATAGTTTCTTTGACAGCGCAGACAAGAGGCGGGCGAACTCATGCGTTTTGGGTCGGTCGGAGGACGTTCGACTCTTCCGACCGAGTCAGCCCTCGCAAATAAACTCAACTGTACGTTTCGTTTATGTTCGTACAAGGTACGAAATGATAATGAATTCTGTGATCAACAATTCTTGTCTTTGATGTTACCGAGACGTCCCTCTTGCATCCCCATATACTGAACCTTCAACGGATCTTAATATCCACTGGTAAATCCCCAATCTTACAGTTCGTAAAATTTTGGTACTCCTGTGGTTTGTTTATTTTATTTTATTTTTTTGCCGAAAACGAGTTTTGCCATTACCGTATAATTAAAAGTGAGAAGCTGTAGGAACAATTAAAGATAAAAAGCACAGCGGAATTTACACAACAACAAAAGCATGAACATGTTGATAAAATGACCTCTGGGTTACTATACATGACAAGTATATTTCTACAAGCCTAAGAAAAGAGAAAAATAGGTCATCCGATATCAAGATGGAAGAACCAGTTTACTTATCCTCGGAACATGAATTAGTAACCCAATTCCTTGTAACAGAATAATAATAATAAGTACTACTTACGCGATTATGTTTCAAATCAATATCTTCAGCCTCTGTTCACTGATATTTGGGCTTGTTTGAATTTCACATTTTTTTTCAAAATATTATTTCTTAATTTGCTTTAACTATATCTGATAGCTAAATTATTATGTCGCGTTATTGTGTATTAACTTACTTTTCCCTCTAAATAAATGAATCACTCCTGAAGAGACTGCATTACTATACAGTATACATTACACAGAGTGTGTTTGTATGTCATCGAGTTATGTTCACAAAAAAACGCTAACTTATTTCAAACTTCACGTTTCCTGTCACGTATTCTCCTACGAAATAAAACGAGTTTTATACACGCATTTATAAATGCCCCTGTGACAGTCTAGAAAACACCGCGGCGTTTGTACTGGTCTGAACTGTATCTAATGGACTTAACTGAAGTCAGATGGCTTTTTCTCTCTTCTCATCGTGAAGGGAGTAACCGAGTTTCAGAAAGTTTTATCCTCGAATGCGTATGGTTAAACATTATTTGAGCACGAACAATAAATGATATACGTAGAATCGAAATAACAATGTGAATCAAAATTGTCAATTACACGATAAACAGATGGCTATACAATTCAAAAAGACAATTTAAATTTGTCAATCAAATGTCCAACTTTAGTCGTCACTTAATCTGTTACATACTGTTTGATTCCATGAGTTAAAAACATTCATGTAAACATATTAAAATAATAGACCCAAAATTCTCATAAAAAAATTGTATAAGTATAAAAATGTAATGTCCGATTAATAGACTGAACTTCGTTTTGACTTCAATTCCGTGACATTTTACAGTCTTGAACGTAGCTGATATTACCCAATGAGAGCAGAAATTGAAGTATACCACTGCATTTATTGCACTAGAAGTTTCCTCTTTGAGGTTCAGCTTCACTCCCAGGGCAGGTCATATGAGATTTGATAAGATTCTTGGTCTTGCCAACCGCATTGCTTTTCAGGAATATCACCCCACTCTCCGCGTTAGGCGATATCTTGTTCTATTTTGTTATAAACAATTAATTATTATATAAATTACCAAGTTGGTGTTCGTAATGTGTTTTCTGCGTCTAGTAATAAAAATATTGTTAATTTAAACTCATTTCAAATATTTCAAAATATCAGTATCTGCAAACCATATGAATTGTATACAACGCGTCGCTGTATCCCTGGCATATCACGACTATGAAATTCACTGCTTCATTCTCTACCATTAATATTTAAGTACGTGTAAGTTCTTCGCACGAATTACATGAAATATAAAACGTAAGAAGGATGCTTTGTCTTTCCGTCCGAATACGTTATCTAAGACACTACTTATGAGATTTACTGTGATCTTGCCTAAAAGTTGTCTGACGATTCTAAATTCTGTCCTCATCGGTCAGACATAACAAACACAACTCAAACGTAACTTTATAAATTTTCTCATAGAATGGCTCATCGTACAAAACAAAATGGCACATTGTATGAAATGGAGCTTCATTGTATGAATGTCTGGAAAACTGTTCCTCAATCTCCCCCCTCCCCTATCCAAATTTCATACATTGTAATTAAACATAATATAGATTAATTAAAATGTAAATATAAGGCATAGTTTTTGTCAGTTTTTACTCCAATGTGGAAGTAAACATGTGATAAAAAGCTTCAAACTTATAGCAATGCAGAATCAAAGGAAGAAAATAGAATCTACTCAACTCGTAAACTTCTTAAGCACAGCTTACGGACCCTCGATTGAGAAACAATGTCTAGAGATAGAAGATTCATAAGAAGATGACGTCATTTCTTCGTAGCTAGTGAAACAACGGGCAGATGACAATGTTACGAAAGAGCAGACCTGTAATTGGTCTCTAATTAAAACTATACAGTTAGTGAATTTCAGGATAAATTTATCATGGAAAATAAAATGGGAGTTTTTTGTTGCCTTAGTTGGAACGACGATTTTCACAAAGAGAAAAAATTTTCATTTTTATATAGCAGTTGGCATTGACTCTTAATTTATATTTCTTACCATTCTTTGTTTTTAATTAGCCCAGATTGTTATTGATTATCATGGGCACAAAGTGTTATGCGATGTGAAGGCTGATATAAACTATCGGTAACAACTGATTTAATTTGCTATACAAAAGCGTACTACATAAATATTTGCCGATAATATTAGCATGAGTAACAATTTAGATAATTTATAGCATTTTAAATCTCGTAAACTCTCCCACTCCCCATAATATGTTATAGTTAACAAATCCAATGACAACAACTTTATTATTGTTCTGTAATATGACAAGTAACTGTTTTATAGATCCGGTTTTCGTGACATTATTTTTATGATACGTGGCTGTAGCCATTACAAAATATTTTTTACGGCACAAAATTGTCATCATTTTTTTATCCATTTCCTTTGTGCGATATTTAAGCCCGGATATCAGTACTTTTCGGAATTCGAACCCACATGTCATTTACTTTGTGACACGAACTTACAGTCTTGCGCTGAATGTACATCAGCGTTAATCCGTTGAACCAGACATCCGCAAGGGGACAGAGATAATGCAAATAAACATCTTTGGGCCCACATATCGTATTTCCCCCCCCCATAAAATGATTGAATGATTTTTTTATTTATTCGTGTTGTCTATAAGAATGATACTATAAAGATCTTTAGCATTAAAAACATTTCGACAATTTGCGTTCATAAAGTTCTATCATGATTATTAACGGAACCAGAAAACGCGACAGTGTTGTTAAAACTTTGATATAAATGACTATAAAAGAGAACTTGAAGTGTCTCAAAATTCG